CTGGGACAGCTCCCCTCTCCTGCATGGGGCATCCGCCAGGCGCCCCTCCTTGGACGGCCTGTGTCCTTTGGGTGCGCCGCGCGCGGCTGGGCCATCTAACATCTCTTGTGCTGGGCTTCAACACCGCCAGGCAAAACCTACCAGCGATCACTGCAAACGTGGGCACCCTGCCGCCCCCCCCCGGCCGGAACTGCCGGCACCCTGCCCCGCCCCCGGCTGGAACCATTGGCACCCTGCCCCCCGCCGGGCTGGAACCATTGGCACCCTGCCCCCCGCCGGGCTGGAACCATTGGCACCCTGCCCCCCGCCGGGCTGGAACCATTGGCACCCTGCCCCCCGCCGGGCTGGAACCATTGGCACCCTGCCCCCCGCCGGGCTGGAACCATTGGCACCATGCCACTGCCTGCCCCCCGGCACCCTGCTGCCCCCGGCTCAAACCCACACGTTTTGACCAAAATATTTATTCTCTCTGGCAAAGCGGCGCCCGTGCTGCCGTGGCTCCTACGCTCTCTCCGGGGCAGCCGTGCTGGCCGCAGAAGTTCGCGAGAAGACTCTGGACAGAGCAGCCGGCACTTTCTTGAACAGTGACGAGGGCCGCTGCCTGGGCACGCTGGAGTCCGAGGCAGCCGCAACGACTGGAGCAAACAGGCGGGGGGGAGTAACCTGCGCAGGGGCCCGCCGGGCTGGCGGCGAGGGCTCCCGCTCCCAAAGCACAGAACTGGGACCGCCCGCGCCGGGCGTGGCGAGGGACCGGTGACCTTGCCTTCAGGGCGTGCGGGCGCCCCACGCAGCGGGGTGCCGGCAGACAGTGCCCTACCGGGAGGTGCCTGGCGCCGTGTGGGAGGAGGGGCCACTGGCTCGGGGGAGCGGCGCTGGAACAGATGCTCTGAGCGGGGGGGGGGGGCGAAGGAGGAGACGGACTAAGGACAGACGGGGGCAGGGCAGGACGGACGCTGGGCAGCTGCCGTGCTCAGGAGGGCTGAGCTCAGAGCGGGCCGGGAGCAGCTCCGCGCTTGGCCTGGTTTCCGAGAGCTGGAACTCACGGGTGCTCCTAAAGCCCCTCGGGCGAAGACACGCCTGTGCCAGGCCCGGTTCCCCGCCCCCGAGCGCTTGCGGCAAAAGGGCAGCGTGCGGCCTCCGGAGGGCTCGGCCCTGAGTCCAGGGGCGGGGGCAGGGCTGGCAGTGCCCCACGCCCCAAGAAACGCCTCAGATGCCAGGCTGGAGCCAGGCAGCGGGCCCTAGAGCCAAGAGCTTGGAACAAGAAGCAAACTGGCTGCAGACCCAGCGGGGAGACTGGTGACCGGCCAGAAGGGCCCTGGGCTTTCAGGTGACAGCTGGTGTCGTGGCCTTTCAGTTCTGGCTGAGCCACAGACGGCCTGGTGACCCTGGGCAAGTCACTTAATCCCTCAGTGTCTCCATTCCCGTGTGTGCTCCCATGGATGAATGCCACTGGTGCGTGGCAGGGGCAGAGAGGCTGCACGAGGGGGGCCCATGTGCTCCGTTACCTGTTTTCTCTTGGAGCGGGGAGTCTTCCTGTCCCACGTCTTCGTAGGGCGAGACAAGCTGCGCAGGGAGAGGGAGAGTCAGAAGGCACCAGGTGGGCGTCCCAGGAGCCGAGTGCTGCCATTCGGCCCCCGGCTCATGAGCATGGCGGGAACGGCTCTGCCTGGCCTGCGCTGCTCCTTGGGACGGAGGATTCGTGGGCGTTTTGTGCCTCGCGGTGCCGCACTGGGGCTCCGACACCCGGCTCCCGGTGAGCAACAAAGAGCTGCGGGGCTCAGAGGCGTGTCTGTGCTCCCGGCAGAGCCGCACAGCTAAGCAGAGGGCGTCCGCCAGCAGCTGCCTCTAGAAGCAGCCGCCAGGAGGCCTGGAGCGTGGAGAGTGAGCAGGCCACGGAGCAGCTCCCGCTATGACACCGCTAGGAACAGAGGGACGTGTTCCTGGGGGCAGAGCAGTTCTGTGCCTGCCGTTCGGGGGGGCTGCAGAACACGCAAAGGAAGGCGACTGGGCGGCTGGAGAAGAGACTAAGGCTCCAATCCTGCCCACAAGGGACCACTGCAGGCCTCTCACCCAAGCTGTGGGCAGCCCCCCATGTAATGGGGCCGCCAGGCCTGGCGTTGGACTACCTGGGACGCGGGGCCGAGGCTGGATAATTCCACCCAGCGATTCCTCCACTGAGCCCCGCAGGGCCTGGCGGAGCGAGTGTCCCCCCGGCTCTAAAAGGGCCACTTTCATGGTGGCCCGGGCGACACGTCCCGACAGCTAATCGCCCCCTGGGAAGCGCGTGGCCTGACCCCGTCTCCCGTCCGCTCCAGCACTTGCTGCTTTCGCTGCCGGTGCGGCCGGGAGCTGGAGCCCGGCTACCAGAAACCCCCCTTGGGGTGTACACAGAGCAGGACCCTGCGGCTCTCCCGGCGAGGCAGGCTGCCGGCCTGCGGCTCGTTCGCACGGCTCCGGCTGAATGCTTGGCAGAGCCCGTTCGGGGCTCTCCCGGTCCCACACGCAGCCGCGATAACGCCCACACCTCTGCGCCGTGCTGGTGCAGCCAAGGCCCCGCCAGCCGGCCCGGCCCGGGGAGCTCTGCTCTGTTCATTTCCACCTGGCCGGGACGCTGTGGCCCGCCCTGAGCCTGACGGCTGGGAGGGCTCGTGCCAGGGTGGGACTCGGCTGTCCTGCCGCCGGGGAGGGCAGTGTGGGTTCGGCTGGCCTGCTTGGTTTTCAAATGCACAGACACTTGTACGGCCGTGGGTACCACGGGGCCCAGCCTGCGCCGCGTCTGCCGAGCCGGCGGGGCCTGTGCAGAGGATGGGAGCAGCTTGGAGCCGTTAAAGGGCCACAGGCCCGGCGGGGGCGTAAGATCGGAGCTCCAGCTCCTGTTTCAAAGCAAGGTCGAGCGACCAGCCGGGCTGGCAAGAGGGGCTGGGGGCAGGTGTAAAACTCTAAAAGCCAAGAAATGTGGGTCCCTGGCTGCCCAGGGCCGCACCCTCCGACTGGGCACCGGGGCAGAGGAGGAGCCCGGACTCGCCCGTCGGTGGGGTGGGGCGAGGACCCGCGTTTCAGGGGAACAATGGCACCAAGGAGGGGACCCCGGGCGCAGGGCTCTGCAGCGTCAGTCGCGGGACGCGTGCTGGGGCAGGGCCCCGCTGTCCACGGGGCGGTGGGGGAAGGAGGCCGGACAGCCCCTCCACTGACCTGCGCTCTTGGCTCCGGGGCGCAGGGCCTTGCAGGCGGCTGGGCTGAGGCGTGTCAGGGGGCTCAGGTTTCTGTGTGAGCCGGACGCTCCCTGCACTGGCCTGTGCCCCAAATCGCGTGAGGCTTGCAGCCCCCAGCAATGATTTCGCGTTTCTGCCCAGCTCCGTGCAGGAGCCCAGTGGAAACCCCCTGAGGGACGAGGACTCCCCTTGACAACGGCTCATTGGTGTGGCCGGCAGAGCCGGTTGCTGGACAGTGCCGGTGGGAATGGAGGGGCAGAGAGGGGGGAGCCTGGCGAAACCACTCCCGGGGGGTGGGTGTCGTTGGCAGCTTTAGCACAAACTTACCTCAAAAATCGCTGAGGTGTCTTCTGTGTCCCGAGCCTCGTGCATGGTGTCGTACGTTCCTGCAACACACGGGCGTTGGCTCAGCAGGGCCCGTTTCCGCTCTCCGGGCTGCCTGCCATCGCCGTCGGGCCGGGGCTCGCAGCCTCGTGTCTCAGGCTGCACGGACATACCGTGTGCACCGACCTCGCGGGGGAGCCGTGTCTGCACGGGGGGGTTGTTACCGTGGGCGTCTGGGCACGGCGCAGGGGCTCTGGGCCTCCTGGCGCTGTGCCAGCGTGGCAGCTGGAAGGCGAATGGCGCCATACGGAAGCGTGAGCTCGCCGAGTTTATGCTCCAGTGTTGCAGGTTTCCCAGGGACCGGCGCCCTGGCACCAGGTCGTTGGTGAGCTAAAGGGGGAACCATCGAACCCTCCCAAGCATCGCACCCCAAAGCACCAAGCCAGCCTTCACCTTTGTCCTGCGCCACAGGCACCGGGGCTGTCTCTCCGGCACTCCCCCTGCAAGCAAAGGAACGGTTCTGAGCGCCACCGCAAACTGCGCCCGCGTGCTCCATCTGCAGAGCAGGGCCTGGCTGGACTGTTAGGCGCTGCGCTGGACCCTGCCTTGCTGGTTGATTTGGGGCATACACCCACTGAAACCAGCCCCAGGCACAGAGGTCCCTATGCTGTACTGATCTCTAGCTGCGGTTTGGGCTCCTGGCAGCTTTCGGCATCCAATATCAGTGAAAGCAGTCCCCAGCAGTGTTCCCTCTTAATGTTTCCAGCAATGTGTGGAATGCATTTTGTTATGTGCACCAAGGCATGTGCAGACGTGCACCACCTGCATTAACACAGGCTGCTGGCTGTGGGCGCTCTAATCTGCTGGGCAGCATTCGAATCTCTCCTGGGTGGTGGCTCAAGGGCACAGCTTAGTCCCTGGGCTGGTCTAATGTGTACCAGAGACTGTTCTTGCCCAGAGCGAGAGCCCTGCGCAGATACATGTTGTATCCACAGAAATGAGCTGCAGGTCGCCGTGGATTTGCAGGGCGCCACACACAGCAGCCGTGGATTTGCAGGGCGCCACACACAGCAGCTTCCCTGCTGAGGGCTGTGGCCACTTCCCCGCTACTTCTCAGTGACCCCCGTTCCTGCTCTGCCCTTGCCTCAGGCCCTCAGCTTGCAAACCCCAGCAGCCAGCCGGGGCTGTTTGTAGCTCCACCAGTCCCACCAGCAACACTTTCCTGTGCAGGGGGCTAGCTTCCCTCCACCTGCAAAGCAGCTAGTGCTCCCTCCTTGAGCTCCAAGGAGCAACTGACCCTGCTCTGCTCTGCAGCTCTTATATGGGCCTGCCTCACCCTGATTGGCTGCTCCTCTCAGGCCTTCTCTGGCTGCCTCCAGTGCAGCCTCCCTAGTGTGCTATTAACCCCCTTGAGGTCAGCATGGGGCCAGTGCCCTCTCACATACAGACCCCCACAGTTACCTTAAACATGTGCTGTCCTTGTTCAGAGCGGACACATCTGTGCTGGAGGCTGAGCCGATGAGATTCTGTTCCGAGTCAGGCAGGGGCCCGTGAGTTGCTGCGGTGTCTTTCGCACCCTGGAGAACACGTACAGTTATTTCAGGCAACATTTCCGCTCCCTGGCTCACTGATCTTTGCCCTGCTTCTGATCTTGGTCCTGCTTGGTGCCCCTTGGTCGCCCCAGCTGACTGCTCCTGCCCCAGAGAGGACACTCGAGGGTAGCAAAGGACTCTTGTTGCTGGACCGGTGCAAACACAGGGCTGCATGGATTTCTCTGACCTCGGGGTGTTCACAACATCCGCCCTCCTTAGCAGCCTTTCTACATTAGCGAGATGAATTTTTTCACTGGATTTTCAGGGTTAAACAATGTAACAACCAATAATATGGCAGTGAGGGAGGTGGACACCGGGGGCGCTCGAATGCATTAAACCTCCACGTAACCTGGAGGCCAAGTACTGAAGAGGTCGGCCAAGTGGCTCAGACAAGCGGCGGGAGATGCCATGTAGGAGGAGAGGCTGGCAGGAATCCGGACGAGCTGAGCAAGCCCCGTATGTCTGCACGGCGTAGGAACGCGGTCTGGGCGGAATCCGACAGGGGCTTAGGCAGCTAAACTTGGGTGCATAAATCTTGGGTTTAGGCGCCCGAGCCCCAGTGTTGGCTCTTTCATGGTCCACAGGACTCCCACCGGCCCTGGCAGGTGCCCTGACTCGCTTGGTGCCTAAATATTCAGGGTGAAAGTTCCCTGGTGCCTGTGTTTCTGCCTCTGGGCAGTCATGCGGCTGCCTCTCGCGAGGGGGCCAGGTGCCTGTCTGGGGCTGAGGCCGAGTGAGTCACCAGACGGGCTCTTGGCTGCCTGGCGCGGGCCGGGCCCAGGCTGCTAGGTGTGCTCGGGGCCCCTTCGGAAGCTGCTAGGAGGTGGCACTCGCCTGGGATGTTGGGGAGCCAGGGTCACATCCCTGCCCTCTCTGTCGGGGGCCCTGGGGGGCAGTGCTCTGAGCTGTGGCATGTTCGGGGTGGGGTGGGAACCCCTGGAGGCTGTTCTGTGGGGGCTAAGTGACGAGTACAGTCGGAGCAGGGAGCATTCTCCTGAGAGGTGGGAGGCCTCTGTCAAAATCTTGTCAGCCCGGCTGGTAGAGAGAGGGAAGTCAGCCCGGGGCTGCCACCTCCAGGTAAGCGCTGTAACCACTAGGCTAAATGTTCCCAGGTGGGCGCCGTCTCCTGGCGCGCGCATTCTTGGCTGGCCGTTTCACCCCACGCGGGGTAGGGGAGCGTCGGTGCCTACGCAGCTTTGCGTGCTGCAGACTTGGCGCCTGTCATTTTTCTAGGCCCCATGGATCCGCCAGAGCCCCTGCCTGGATCCCACCCCTCTTCTCCCGCTCGCTCGGTGCGCCTGCTGGTTGGCATGGCTGCCCGTGAATTCCATAGGGACTCCTCCTCCCGGTGAAGGGGGCTGCTGGACAAGCTCCGGCTCTGATCTCTGCTCCGCCTCCCTGTTAATTCTCAGCGGCCCTTGGAGGAGCAGTGCCAGGCTGGGAGGGGCACTGCAGGTCACCCAGGGGACTCCCAGCCCTGCGCTCAGGGACACGGGCAGGAGAAGGCTTTGGCCGAGGGTCGTCAGGGGCCTGGTCCAAGCTTTGCACGCTCCGCTTACCTGGTCCTGAGCCTCTTTCCCGGGTCTTGGCGTGGCGATTGGAGGGTCCCGCGGGCTTGCCGAAGGGAGACGGCTCAGCTGATCCTGGTCATCTTTGATTTCTCTGACGATGTCTTCAATGTCTTCAGGGATCGAGTTGGACAGAGCTTGGCAGCACTTGCTCAGCGACAGAAATTTCTTCTGGCTGCTCGTGCTTGGCCTGACTGCTGGCAAAGAGGCTTCGCTCTCGTACCGCTGCTGCTTCGAGGGGCGCGCAGACGCCGCGCCCTCTCTCCCTGCGGTGCCCGGGCGGGACCGGCTCTCAAAAATCAAAGAGGATTCGACTTTTAAAATGTTCTCAAAAGCTGCCTCCTCCTCCTGCTGCTGCCCCGCCTCTGCCTCGATATCACGGGCGACGAGTCTCCTGAGAAGGTCCTGCTGGTTCTTCACATCTTTTAAAATTTCCACTTTGGCGAGGTCAGGCTTTAACATGTCCCAGAATGAATTTCGGCTGGTAAGCTGCAAGGGAGAGAGAGCTTTTGAAGCGAGCTTAATTTCAGAGTCAGGTTTCTTAGGGGTTTTTTTTTCTACTGTTCACTAGCTAGAGGACATAAACTGAGGCTCTTTTGACTTGCATTTGGGTACATCGTTTTCACTTCCATCGAGAATTCGGAAAAATCCTGATTTTTCTATTAGAAATTTAAAATAAACCCCATGGGAATATGACAAAAGGGAAACCGGAATGCACGTGCACCTCGGTGCGCATTTGTCCTGGACTCAAAGACTTTGAGGGGGGCCATTATGATCAGCCCCCGAACCCCCCCCACTCCTGTAACAGACCCTGAGCCACGGCTGAGTCGCGGGTGGCATCGCAGCGGGAGGTAACAGCTTCGAGTAATAAGGAGTCCTTGGCTTACACTGGTTTAAACCCGCGCGTGACCCCTGCCTCACGTTGCAGACGAAGGGCAAACCCCAGGGGTTCTCACCAGCCTGTCCTAGGGAAAAGCTCCTTCCCAAGCCCAGATATGGTGCTTAGTTAGATCCTGGGCACGTTGCTGAGGGCCCCCGGCCAGACGTGAGCCCTGGGAGCTAACTCTCTGTAGTAACTCGGCGCCCTCCCCACCTAGGTCTGGTCCCTGGCCTTTGGAGATATTTGTGCTAGCAGCCTCAGAGCGGCTCTATGGCACTGTCGCCCTCCCATCACACCCTCCCCTCCATAAACGTGTCCAGGGTGGTCTGGACATTGCTAACGTGGGTGCAAAGGATGGGGCTGCCTCAGCCACGTTGGCCGTTACATGCAAAGGGGCGTCACAGGGAAGGTTACAAGCAGACAAAACCGAGTTCCCAGGCTGACACAATGGCCAGTCGGATTCTGCTTGCTCACCTCCTTCGGTCTGACATCCAGCCGGCCTGCCGCGCACAGGGACGGGCGCCTCTCTTTCTTTTTCCTCTCTTCAGCAACGCTGGCTTTGGCCGTGGGACTGTTCCCAGCCACGGTGGCTCTCCTCAGGTCCGTCAGACTCAGCCCTGCGAAAGCACTGCAGGCCTTTTTCAGCTCCTCCAGAGGCTCCGTTTCTATGGAGATAACGGCTAACTGGTCGGGCACGATGGCCGGGTCGATTTCTAGCGCGCTGTTCCCAGTGTACGGGATTATGTTAATGGGCAGCCTGGGTTCTGTCGGTTGCTCGGTTGCATTTTCATCTCCGAGGGGCTCCCTGGAACATCTGGGCTCAGGCAGGGTGTGAAGGGAAACGTGCGCGTGGACTCGCTCCACGATTCTGTTGAGTTCCATGGCGCTCTGGCTAACCATCGGCGCGCTGCCTTTGAAAGCATGGGCCAGGTGACAGTGAGAGATTTCATTAATTATTATACTGGCTACTTGCTGAGGAAAATTTGTTCTGGAACTCGTTACACTGTCATAAAAGTCTTGTTGCGATCCAGATTTTTGCAGGACATTACTGTAAATGGCGTGAGCCACTTGGTTCAGAGTTTCGTTGTGCTCTGAATTGGCCACATCACCTGCTCCTTCCACAAAACTGATTTTATTTTGGAACATTAGTTTTTCCATGGACTCTTTCAGCTTCCCCGCAACTTCATTCACTTCAGTCTTTGATAAACTTTTTTCTGAGCTTCTGCTGTGAGTTGGCTTTAAGATTTTAGACAAGAATCTGCTTAATATTTCTTCCACAAACATCACCGGTAACACAGGGCTATGTGATGCCAGGGGAGGTTTCGGAAGCTCTGTGCTGGTAAGAATCTTTTTAAAAATATTGACAGCCTCCAGCATCAAAGGGAAAGTGGGGGGTGGTTCTTCCAGTGACGTGAGCTGGATTTCGTGTTTAGAAGGATTACCAAGCACCAGAGAAGCTACTCTGTTAGCTAAAACGTCATTCGGGTTTGTTAAATCTTTGTGAATAGAAATGTCAGAGTCGGAGTGTTTCAAGATGTGCGTATAGACAGGACCGGCTGCTTCTCCAGAAGCTCTGCTGTCGTCTTCTTGCAATGAGTCTGGCTCGTTGCTGCTGTCGCTGATCTTCAGTTGGTTTTTTGAAAGGAGAGCTTTCAGCGAATTCATTATTTTGGAGGTTAAATGCTTCACGGAAGAAGGATTTTGTTCATCCATCTCCACGGTGGGGAATATGGACAAAAGTTTATGTAAAAGTTTATATGAAAGTTCCTCTATGATGAGAGAAGAGAATTCCCCGACATCTGATGTGACGGGATTTGGGTGAGCTGAGGGTTCGGTGAGGTCTCTAAGCATGTCTTCCACAACACTGTCAGCTCCAGCACACTGGTCAGCTGTTAATTCCCCAGAAAAGAGGGTCTGCACGTGATTTTCCGACACCTCTGTTAACACCAAGTCAGCTATTGCTTCCGAAAGAATTGTGCACCCACTTTTTAAACACTTCTGCATTGTTAATTGGGATCCAAACTGTGGCAGAAGCTTATGATAGACTGATTCTACAACCGCTGGAATAACGGAATCCCCGTCTTGGTGCAAATCCTTAACGTACTGAATAATCCGATTCTGCTCTTTAGAGATTTCTGTCCTAACCTTACTTACCAGCGTCATGTGAATAAAGTCAAACTCTGCAATCTGATTTTCCGTTTCTGCAGATGAAGACACGTCGGAGTGTTCCGGGAGCATTTTCAATAACAGCTTGGTAATTACGTCTTCTAAAAATCCATGCGGTACCCTAACAGTCTGGCACTGGGTGCTGGGTTTGTTATCCTTCTGTGAGACCTCGTCAGCAATCAGCCCAGATTCTAGAGGTTTAACTACAGTAGAAGATGAAGCTTTTGCCAGTGGTCCCTGAAATTGGTAATCAATAATTTCTCTCCTTACTGAAGCAGCCAGCGTTTCTACTGAAGCACTGTGGTCACTTTTGATGGCTGTATAATCTGAGGCTTCAGAGCCACTTTCTTTCAAAATGTCGCACAAACTGGAGTGAATAATCTTAGTGGCCAATGTGCTAACCTGCGGTGGGGGGTCCGGATCTTCCTGGGGTGACGGCTCCTTGACGTGGGACTTTGAACACTCATTTAACATTGAATCGATGATATTTGTCACCACCTGGGAAGGCTCCGTGACCTCCGTTTTTCTGTCCTGCGTGTCTCTGGTGTGAGAAGACATGATCAACTTGCTTAGCAGTTCGCTACACATTTCTTTCAAAAAAGCAGCAGAACTAACTCCATCCTGAGACTGTGTTGCCTGCCTCTCGGCTTCACGTGACGGCAGGCACTCCCCATCCTCTTCACCCCTGTGCATTGCTTCCCCTTTGGGAGATTTCTTTGTGTCTATCTTACAGAACGACTTCCTTGCAAATTGTCTTCCAATCGGGGGTAGCGTCATCCTGGAGCTCAGTGTTCGTGTTGATTCTGGCGCTGGCCTAGAAAATCTCGGTTTGGGAGCTGTGACGCTGAAAATAGACTTTCTGATTCTCTCGGATGCAGTGGAAGTTTCTCGGGCAGAGAATTTGCGACGCTGGAGAGTTGGAAGATTACGTGGAATGTCCTTCCACATTTCTGTTTTTTCCTCTGAATTAATCATCATGTCGGGAACACTGATAGGCGGAAAGGTTTCTCTTAAGTCAGCTTTTAATTTTTTCGCAGACATTTTCATGCCTCCCAACCTCGTGACACCCTGATTAGGTGTTTTATTATTTCCAAAGGCTCGTCCGGGTTTCTCCATCCGAGGATTTTCAAACTTGGATTCTGAAGTAATTTCCATCAAATTTTGACTGCATTGCTCTAATATGGCACCAGTTAGCTGACTCGCCAGGATGTTTTCTTCCGAGACATCACTAAATGGAGATGTTTCTCTGTGGCTAGGTTCTTTTTCAGGTTTCCACTTGATGATTTCCAGAATTTTGGTGACAGCAATTTTAGCATAAATGCTCAGTTCCGAATGGAGTCTTTGGACTTGGCAAATGGCATTTTGTATGCTCTCCCTGGTAATCATACTGCTGACCCGTGACAGGTCAGGAAAACTATGAAAGGGTTCTAACGTGGGGAGCGTTCTTTTACTGGTTGTCCCTGGCACTGTATGTTCAAATGATACTTCTATCTCCTTTGCTACCTGAGTTGAGAGCGGCCGCAGGAATGGTTTGTGTTGGGCACCAGACCTGTTTTCAACAGGGAGTTTCACTATTTCAGAAAATTTACATTTAAAGTCATGTTTAAATTGAAAGGCTACGAAGGACTCCAGTGTGAATATAACACTTTCAACCGTCGCTTTGGCCATTTTATCGATAGAAGCCAAAGAAATGTGACGGTCGTAAACAGGCGAGTCAGATTGCGCACCTTTTTTTTTTTCTGATTTGGAAACTCGGCTGGTTGACCCAGGGGCAGTCGAGATGCTGGATGCCAAACACTTGTGAAAGTTATCAAACACGATTGCTACAATCTCTCTAGCAACTAATCCAATTTCTTTCTGGAAATCTTTCTGGAAAGTCCCTGGAGGTTCGGTTCTTTTAAATTTACTACAGAACAATCTTTCACTAATCTCGATTGGAGCCTTCTTTAGAATGCGGACAGAATGGTCCAGATCTTGCACCCTCATAAACACGTCCTTGACAACGTTCTCAGCCACCTGGAGCATCTTCAAGTTGTCAGTGACATTTGCTTCAGTTCCTCTTTGCTGCTCCAATAATTTTTTAAAAACACTGTCTTTAGGAAGGCTTTGGCTTACGGCTGAAGGAATATCCCCGCCACTCAGACAGTGTTGGGGGTTGGCATCGTGTGCTGTCGATTCAAATGTAAAATAAGTTGGGATGAACGGAAACCTCTCTGTTTCAAAGTTCTTGCTGGGAAACTCACCTGCACCTCCCATGCTCATGACTTTCCTCTGAAAACTCAACGCATTTTTAGTCTGGGACGGAGGTGTTTTTCTCTTGTGAATATTTCCTTTGCAGAACTCACTTTCCAGAGACACCCGTGTGCTCCTCGTCAGAGGTGTGAAAGGTGACGTTTGAGACAGCTTCCCTTCCGGCACTGTCTTGTGATCGGCTGGTGAGCTGGTGGGTTTCCCCTCTGAGCCTGGAAAGAAGACCCTTTTGGTTCTGGAGGGTGGTAGACTTCCAAAGAGCTCTTCATTGCAGCCACTAGAGTTCTCAGAAGAGAGGACTGGCCCGTCAGCTGTCGCAGGTGGCTTGGCTCGGGCTGTCTCTTCATACTTTGTCACAGCGGGGTACAAGATACTTGTTACTTCAGCCAGGAACCAGGTCATAATATGCTGGATTTTACTGTTCAGGTCTTCAGTCCTGCGCTTCTGTAAGAGAAGCAAATATGAAAGGGCAAGGGAACGTGTTCATTTACTCCAGTTTTTCCTTCCTCCCCCGGTGTAAACGACTTACTGTGTCTGCTTCAAGCATACAGGGTGGCCATAGCAGCCATGACGAGCGGTGACGTTGGTGACCGGCTAAGGGTGACCAGTGGGCGACCCATTAGGGCCACAGGGCTTGCTCGGGGGCTCTGAAGCTACGGCAGGCCCTCTCTTGCCCCCACTGGAGTGCCTGGGACGTGTGCCATCAACTCCAGCAGAGCCAGGGTCTCACCCCATGAGCCAGGGCGACTGAAATTTGCCGCAGTGGCAGGGAGGGCTCCCAGCAGGCCTGCAATGAGCATGGACACCGTCCCGTGCTGGCGGGAGAGTGCAGCTGGTACCCCGGCAATGCCGAGCGTTCAGACGGGGGGGGACCCAGAAACCTCCACGCCAGCAGCAGTGCCTGGTTCCCAGGAAGCAACGCTGCCACAAAAATTGACTCTACCCAGGGAGATTAAGGCAAACTCTCCCCATCGGCAGCATCCTCCCCCAGAAGAGGCCGTATCACAGAGTAACAACAATACAACGTTTCCTCAAAGACTGTGCCCTGCTCACGTGCTAGGTAAAGGAACGGATACGTGTGCAAGTACCAGCGCCATCTGGTGACGCATCCATGCGAACCCTTCTCATACCTGCCACACGGCAACGTGCGTCCGTTGCTTTACTTCGCTGTCTGAGATCGGAAGGTGGAGTCCGCCCATACCTGAAAGCGTGCTCTTTTCTTCTTCAGATTACTAGCAGTCGGCTCAAAAGGCTGCTGAGAGGCCACTGGCGGAAGTGATGTTTTCTTTCCATTGCCTGACGGTCGACTACAGGCATAGGCTCCTGGGAAAACAATTACAGAAACGTCAGGTGTACAACTGTGACACAGAAATGTGATAGCGTGGGGCAGCTAAGAGAATGTATTGCCGTGAGTTTGAGGTGAATGCAGGATGTGGACAAACTGGGGCAAGTCCAGAGGAGAGCGACACAGATGACGAAAAGTCTAGAAAACATGGGCTCCTTCTGAGGAAAGATTGAAAAAAATGGGTTTCTTTAATCTGGAGAAGATGGGCTGGGGAGGGGCAGGGTAGGAATATAACCCTTGTCAACTAGGTTAAAGATTGTTAAAATGAGGAGGGTGATAAATTGTTTCCTTAGCCAATGACAAGAAGCAAGGAGCTTAAATTGTAGCAAGGGAGATTTAGGTTAAACATTAGGAGAAACGTCCGGTCAGGGAGGTTTAAGCACTGGGACAAATTGCCTAGGGAGGCTGTGAATCTCCGTCACTGGGGGTTAAGAACAGGTTGGACAAACACGTCAGGGATGGCGCTTGTCAGATTGACAATACTTAGAACCCTGAAACACTGGCCTGGAAGGGACCTCGAGAGGTTATCAAGTCCAGTCCCCTGCCCTCAGGGCAGGACCCAGCACCGTCTGGACCAGCAGTTCCCAACCTTTTCCAGATGAGGATCCATTCTGACAATTCAGGACGACTTGGTGACCCAAGGCAATTCAAGAATGGGGGGACGAGGGAGGACAGAGCCACCTGGGGAGACACTTGGTGACCCTTTTGAAATGTAATGGTGACCCATATTTGGGTCCTGACCCATACGTTGGGAAACCCTGGTCTAGACCATCCCTGGCAGGCATCTGTCCAGCCTGCTCTTAAATATCTCCAGAGATGGAGATCCCACAACCTCCCCAGGCAATTGATTCCAGTGTTTAACCAGCCCGACAGGTAGGAAGTTTTTCCTCGTGTCCAATCTAAACCTCCCTTGCTGCAGTTTAAGCTCCTCGCTTCTTGTTCTATCCCCAGAGGCCAAGGAGAACAATTTTTCTCCCTCCTCCTTGTGACACCCTTCTAGGTACTTGAAAATCACTATCCTGTCCCCTCTGTCTTCTCCTTTCCAAACTAAACAAGCTCAATTCTTTCGGTTTTCCCTCACAGCTCATGTTCTCTAGACCTTTAATTATTCTTGTTGCTCTTCTCTGCACCTTCTCCAATTTGGCCGAGGAGTGCTGTGAGGTAGTGTGGGTACCTTGCTGGTTGCTGTGCTGGGCAGTGGGCTGTGGGTGACCTCCACTGGCTGCTGGCTGCTGGCTGCAGCACGGCCCAGCAGGGCAGGGGATGAGTCATTATGCAAGGGGGCTCCAAACCTGTCTGACTAGTTATCTCCCAGGGAGCGGAACAATGGGAAGAAGGGGAATGGAGCCCTGGCTGGGGGCAGAGCTGGAAGTGAGTTAGGTTTCTGGCTGGTATCATGGAGGAGGCAGATTGAGCTACAGGCTGAGATTTAGGGGCCCAGGCTCCCCCATCTCAAGGGGGGCTGAGGCATCCTAGGCCTGCCCTGGAACCAGATTACATCTGTGCTGTGCTGTATCCTGGTGGAGCAATACACTCCCTCTATTCTACTGGCTGGTGGAGTCTGTCCGTGCCACTACGGGGGTGCAGGAGGCAGAGGAACCCCAACATGCCGTCACAAGGGCGCAGGCTGCATGAGCAGGGGAGGTTGTGGAATTGGCAGCAAGCGTGGCCACAGGCGCTGGGGCTTAGGCAGGAGGAAACAGCTGGGCTGTACAGATTACGTTATGTTTACAGCCCCATTTTGTAAGCTGCATCCTCGCGTAATGGCTTACCCCAAACCTTTCTGTGGCTGTCAGCTTCCTCACTGGGGTAGCCTTCCGCACACAGCGTTCTCAGGCGGACGGCCGCTTCTTTCTCTAGCTTCATTTGTCTCTGGAGAAGTTAAGGAAAACGTGGAAGTGTCGGTCAACCACGACTTCCATTGCAGAGAGCAAACGGCTGTTCTTAAGTGCACGGACATTGTGCTGGATGGGTGCGTGGGAGAACATCTCATCTGTTAGACGGTGCAGCCAGAGCGAGCAATTCCAGCTGGCTCTCGAGGCGCGTGTGCTGCCCTGCGAAGCGCAACGCTCGCAAGCTGGAAGCTGCTAGGAGGGCGTCTGGCACCGGCTAGCATTCGGGACAGCCCTTTGCTCTTTGGGGATTCGTCCTCAGCGTCCTGATTCCTGAAGATGTTTAGGTGCCCAGCGCTCAGTCATCTGGATGGAGCTAGGCCTCTAAGTGTCTTTAAGTTTCCTTGGCCAGGGGCAGATCCGGGTTGATCCAGCCCGCAGAAGCCCTGCCACTCCCCCACCCCCAGGCCAATTAGGGCCTCGAGGGGGGGGGAGGGGGAGGAAGCGCACAAAGTTTCCTCCACCCTGCCAGGAGCACGTGGCACTTAGAAGTGCCACGCGCTCCTGGTAGAGGGGGAGGAGACTTCGTGTGCTCCACTGCCCCCAAGCCCTGATTGGCCATGGGGCAGAAGGGGGAGCGCATGAAGTCTCCTCCCACCCCTAGGGGGGTGGGCGCCTGGGGGAATCTTGGGGGGGGCCAAGGCGCTCCCCCACCTCCAGACCAATCATGGTCTGTGAGTGGGGAAGCTTGGAAGTATCTTGGCCCCGCCTCTTCTGCTTGCCGGCCCGCCCTTCCACTTGAGGCCCCGCCCCTTCCGGAGTGACCTGGAGCCACTTAAAAATTTCGGAAGTGGCCCCAGAAAGAATGATGCCCCCCCGGCCTTGGCCTGGCGCCCTTGCTCTGCGGCGCGAGAGGGCTGAGCAGCAGGTTCAACGTACCCTTGGGGCTTTCTCTGGTCTGCTTTTCCTTCGCAGCTGCTCAGCTCTCAGCTCCTCGCGCACGTCAGCTCCGATTTTCAGCAGAAGTAACATTTCCTTCTTTTTCCAGGCCTGAGGAGCATACACGTGCCGGGCTGTACCGAGCGGTGACCGCTGTCCGCAAAGGCCCCGACTGCCCCTCGGCTGGGGGGTGCACCGCACGCCCCCTCCACCCC